CCCCCCACCTTGGGGACCCCACTCACGCTCGCAGAGGGGTTTGGGGGTGCTCCAGCGACCCAGCTTGGTGCAGTTACTGCGGGCGCTGCCGACCAGGCGGAACCCCGGGTTACAGCTGTACTCGGTCCACGTCCCCTCCACCGGCACCCGCTCCATCGCCCGCGCCACCGCCTGCCCGTTCTCCAAGCTCAAGTGCATTTTGGGGCAGGTCCTCACTGGGTGGGGGTGCAAAGTGAGGGGGGGGGCGACCCCCCTACCAACGCAGCGGGTGCTGGTTGGGACCGCCGGTGACGGGGATCGTAAGGGTGGTGGTGGTGGTGACGGGGATAGTGATGGTAGCGGGGATGGTGGACGGTGGCGGGGATGGTAACGGGGATGGTGATGGGGATGGTGTTACCATCCCGGTAACGGGGATGGTGTTGTTACCGTCGCCCGGATGGTGATGAGGCTGGCGATGGTGACAGGGATGGGGATGGTGACAGGATGGTGACGGCGATCACGACAGTGATGGGGATGGTAACAGTGACGGTAACGGTGATGGTGACAGTGACAGGGATGGTGATGGTGACAGTGATCATGACAGTGATGGGGATGGTAACGGTGATGGTAACGGTGATGGTGACAATGATGGTGACAGTGACAGGGATGGTGATGGTGACAGTAACGGTGATGGTGACAGTGACGGGAATAGTGATGGTGACAGTAACGGTGATGGTGACAATGGTGGTGATGGTGACGGAGATGGTAACAGTGATGGCGATGGCAACAATGACGATGGTGGTGATGGGGATGATGATGATGATGGGGACCGTAACAGTGACGGTAATGGCGATGGTGACAGTAACAGTGAAGGTGACAATAGTGGTGATGGTAACGGTGATGATGGTGGTGATGGAGATGGTGACAGGGACGGTGATGGTGACAGGATGGTGACAGTGATCACGACAGTGATGGGGACGGTGATGGTGATGGTGACAATGATGGTGATGGTGACGACGGTGGTGACAGGGATGGGGATGATGATGATGGGTATGTTAATAGTGATGGTGATAGTGATGGCGATGGTGACGGTAACGGTGATGGTGACAATGGTGGTGATGGTGACAGGGATGGTAACAGTGATGATGATGATGGTGGTGGGGATGGTAATGGTGATGGCAACAGTGATGGCAACGGTGACGATGGTGGTGATGGGGATGATGACGATGATGGGGACGGTAACAGTGACGGTGATAGTGATGGCAGTGGTGACGGTAACGGTGATGGTGATGATGGTGGTGATGGGGATGCTGATGGTGACAGGGATGGTGACAGCGATCATGACGGTGATGGGGATGGTGACGGTGATGGCAGTGGCGACGATGGTCGTGACGGGGATGGGGATGATGATGGTGACAGTGACGGTAACCATGACAGCAGTGATGGTAGTGATGGTGACAATGGTGGTGATGGTGACAGGGATGGTAACGGTGATGATGAAGGTGATGGGAATGAGCGTGGTGACGGTGACCATGACAGTGACGGGGACGGATCATGACGGTGATGGCGATGTGACGGTGGCGATGGCGGCGGGGACGGTAACGGTGACGGTGAGGCGACGGGAGCGGTCAGGGGGATGGCGATGGCGACGACGGGGCGGGTGACGGCGACGACGGGGCGGGGGACACTCACGGCAGCGGCTGGGGTGGCCCATGGCGGTCC